CCGAGGGTATGTAAAGCGATAAACTGTCAGTGTTGGCATTGTCTTGGTTACTGTGTAGCAGTGTTGAATGTACTGGCGAATTGCGCATTTACCAAAATCATCAAATTCAATTTTCCCTTCGGTACGAGTACGCACTTTCCCTGGGCTTGTGAACTTACTGGTACCCATCGCGGGAACGCATTTACCAGACGCGTAGCAAGCCAATTTTTTCGTGTAAGCCCAATAGGTTGCCAAGCTGTATATTTAGTTAGTGTTGAGGCATTGCCCAACTTTCATTTTCAAAATCATGTCTAAGCCCGGGGCTTTTTTCATGGTGATAATGTCAAAGACCCAAATCACTTTATTAGGCATTGGGCTAAAAATGGAATTTTAACAATTAAGGACCCTCGAATGAAGATAGTTTTATGTCTTTTGAAGATCTGAAACTCAGGGAATGTGTTGTAACTCAAACCTTCTGGAAAGAACTTGAAAACTGGATAATCAAAAATAAACAGAAATTTGAAATAAGAAAGACTTTGGTTTGGTTTGGTTTTTGATTTAGCCATTGCTAAATCATATAATCTGTTCTGCTAAAAGACATATATATATATTTGCACTTTAAAGAAAATAATTCCAAAAGTTAAGAAATTCATATCCAGACGGAACCATAATTTTGATAATTTTCAGAGAAATGGTTTCCTTTATCCTCAGTTTTCAATCTCTTATTCTGTAATCAAACTTGAATAACTTTATTGCATTATAATTTCTTCATGCTACCAGTTGATGAACTTTGATCATGCATATGTACACTTTTTGCTTTACTTTATATGCTTGTATTCAATTATGGGAACAAAGGAAAAAAAAAAAAAAGAAAAACTGGTCACGTGATCATTATCGTATTCTAGTTTCAGACCATCACACCGATTACAAATGAGATATTCTTCAAGATCATTAAGGTTAACAGCTGTGTTTGTTCAAACATGCCATAGAAAGTCAAGTGAGTGTATGAGTGTTTTTTTTCCAATATGTGGGCAGGCGGACATACATACATACCATTGCAACCGCTTCACATTATATTATATGCACAAATATTCTACATACACAATGAATTTTAGTAGAGTGGGTCGTTTACGTTTCCGTAGTTCCACCAGAAGACATTTTGGATAATAAATATCACACTTTTGATATAATCATACACAATTAAGTGTTTCGCCATATATTCTTACAAACTTAGCTGCAGATACTTGCAATACTGCTGACTCACCTTTAAGAAATATTTACGTATTCACTCACTAAGTCTTTGTCACTCCAGATGTTTTGTATGCATGCGTTGGTTATGTACAGCAAAGTATACCATATATACAGCTTAGTATTTCTAAGTAACCCACCTTCTTCACACTTTGGTGTGAAAGGTGTCAGTTGAGTTTACACAGGACCCTTTGTGTGCCCTGTGGATACTATTTACACTCATATGGTCCTGCTTGCAAGTGCAATATAGCCATTATGTCACTGCATTCACCATACATTACCGATTTCCATATTGCATAAATACCTACACTGAGCACTTATCATCTTAACTTGACAACGACTGGTAAACATCTTTTGTCTTCAATGAATAACCTGTAAACACCATTCGACAGCTTAACTACTGCACCTGTGACAAACAAATGTACTATATGAACACCGAGAGGAGAGAGCAAGGTTCACATTCGTCATGCGGAGGCACCTTTAGGACAATTGTGCATGTAGCTATGAGAAGAAGTACCGCAACCTTGAATGTGACTTAGCTCTTTGTCCAGAAAATGTATACCAGTTCAGGTATAAAAAAGGGGTATGGTCTTACAACAGCACGTAGCTCTCTTGATTCCAGCAGCGAGATTCTGACTTGGTTTCTGTTAAACCCGGCAAAGCCATAACATGCCATTACATTGATTAAATTGCTACAGTTCACAAAGGTGTCATAGCTCAGCACAGTTACCATTGAGGTACACAGACCAAAATAATGTTCAACACGACCCCTATGAAACTACGTCAGTGTTAAGTATCATGTGCACACATCGCACGTCACGTTGACAATGTTTTTCTCAAACTAATACATCGAAGTGTTCAAACTAAAGTGTTCAAACTAATACATCGAAGTGTTCAAACTAATAAATCGAAGTGTTCAAACTAATACATCGAAGTGTAAAGAAAGGAAAGAGAAAAAGAAAGAAAGAAAATGTTTTAATTTTTTTTTCGTGTAAGCCCGGTAGGTTGCAAAACTTTATATTTAGTTAGTGTTGAGAGCTTGCCCAACTTTTCAAAATCATGTGTGAGCCCGGGCTTTATTTCATGATGATAGCTACGCCCCTGTTTACCTTCGTCCTTTATTTTGCGCAAGGTACTGACAGATATACCACTAGCATCGCTGGCTTTTTTGAGTGCACTGTGTGTGCTGTCGGAAATAGTACACATGTACTGAATGACATTGTTGGCAACCTCACGTGTTTGTGAATGAATTACTTGACCCCGTTTACCCAATTTAGAGTGCGACATGATAAGTTTCAAATACCTGCAGAGTTTAATACTCTTTTAACAGTCCACTTTACAAGATACTAGTATACACATACTCGAGCAGAAACACAACGTTTCCGAATCATTGCGTAGAAAGTGATTACTGCGAGGATCACAAAAATCACGTGCGCAAAGTTTTCACACCTGTTCCCCCTTCGAGTAGATAGAGGATCAGTTCACGGCACGCTCCCAGCTGTCCTTTCACAAACGCGTCTTTCGCGCACCTCATTCTAATGTTGGTTTGACAGTAGGAATATTTGTTTGTATCTGTTACATGAACAAAGGAGTTGGTGTAGAAGTGATAGAGTGTGAACATTTCAAACTCTGTGAACTGTACAATACTTGTCTTCAAGCAATTGAAATATGTTTTAGTTGTTTGACAAATAACAACATTTATTCACAACTATGAATGATGTCTTAGCTTTGTTAAGAAAGAGAACAAAGATAAGATACAATTTAGACAGCAGACTTAAGAGTTTTTTCAGTGATTCTGAATTCTTATATAAATTACATTGAATTGTTTGTGAAAGAATTGGTGTAGAAACACAACTTCCCAAAGGAAACTTCAGTTTCAAAATATTTTAAGACGTGCTGAACTTGTTTGACTGTACCTACTTCAACATGAAATGCTGAAATTTTATGAGATCAACAGCTCTTTAAGTGCGTGTGTGAATGTAACACAGGTTTTAATAAATTTATAACTATTTTTAGTCACGATATGGCTGAAATACTGCCACTGTGACTATAAACTTTAACTCACTCACTCACTCATGATATATCGTCTCGCCTCATTAAACTGGTATCAGGATATATCGTCTCTCCACTTAGACTACGAAGCACAGCTCTAATACCAAGTATGTGCATATTTACACATTTACAACAGTACTTCACATCATTAATACATTGTAATCATCTTTTTCGAAAGTATAGATAATGAAATTTGTGCAGCTATGTGAACACACCTGTCTGTGTTTTATTGCAATAAGCAGTCTACTCCTTGTATGTCATATATAAGAAGTGTACGTAAGGTCAATTATTTAAACTATAATGTAATTTCCATTACAAAAAGTATAAACGGTATTACCTACTGATCAGAAAGGCTTATCAGTACCCCACCGCCACCACCCCGCCCTAGGCCTACCCCATCCCACACCCTCTCACACACATGCACACACACACTCTAGCATGCATATCGCTCTGGCTCATAGACCCAATATTGTAACCTTTTAAACAGACATCATGTGTATGTCAAAAAAGGCAGGCACGTTAATAGCGGTGCTCAGTCATGGGTATCACTTCGCCGTGTGTTTCTAATGATCTCCGTGCATTATGGCGTGGTCCGACGCGCTAACGAACCCGATGTGACAGTTACATTACAGAACCATTGAATACATGTTAAAGTAGTGTTAATCTTGTAACACTATATTTACCCATTACCAACCATTTACGCGTGTACTAAATATATGACAAACCTAACCCTGGTCATACAAGATTTCAAAGGTATTGAAATGCATGTCCTACAATCACAGCATTTACATATGTTACACATGCTAGAAAACACATGAAAACAATGGCCAGATTTGCACACCTGTGAAATACAAGTAAATACAGAGTTGAGTGTTCATTTATTTTAACACCCCTTTAAACGTGTGTAAATCTGACAGCCAGATGATATGTAGATTTCAAAAGATTGTTCATATGGCCGCCGGATGAAACGTATATTCCCTAATGTTAGTAAATTTGGGTAATACAGTCATTTGTGTGGTGCCGGTAGGTGTCTGGTTGGAGCTTCGACACCGCCTTTATATATGGAAATGATGAGACCCTTGGACCACTCTCTTGGGAATGTATCCGGACATCAGGATGGTGTTGAACGGCTTATCAGTACGGCTTATCAGCTCGGCTAAGGCTACATACAGGTAAGATCCACCGTATTTCAGATGTTCATGATTTATACCATCTATTCCTGCTGCTTTGTTGCTCTTGAGGCTTTTACATAATGAGGAGATTTCTTTTGGAGATGTGGTTATGCTACTTATGTCAGACTCTAGCGAGCGAAGTTTGTTTCTCAGCTGTTCTATTGCTGATTCTGTGTCCCTCTTAAGTTAGTCATCAAAATGTTTCTTTCCTTGGTTCTTATACACACTTTTCAGATGATCTGCCATTGCATTGAAAATAGAGTGCGGATCATATATCCTTTCACCGTCTACATCGAGGCATGGAATTTGTTGTTGTTTCTTTGCTTGGCACAAGAAGGACCAGAAACATTTCTGGTCTATATTACCTGCGTCATCCATGTCTTTGAAGTTTTCTGATTCATAGCGTGAAGGCTCTTTTCTCAGACTTTATCTAAAAGCGTCCTTGGCAGCCTTGTAGAGCTTGAATGTGCTATGTTCAAATCCCCTCGGTCCGCCCGCATCCAGCCATTCAAGCCTCCTTCTCGTCATAAGTTTGTGATTAGAAATGCCAGTTGTTTACGGAAGTGATATCAAGAGGCTAGGTTGCGCGCGCAACCGGTAGGCAGAAGGCAACAATGGCCACCGACAACAATGCGAATCGCTGTAGCATGGAAGTTAAACAATGGTCAGATTATGTGCTGAAGTTATCTGTTGAAGACCGCGAGAGGTATATTTCAAAGCTGACATCTGGTGAGGGTACACGTAGTTTGCCAGACCCCTATTGTTTGGCGAGCGGCTGGGTTGACGACCCGTCTTTGTGGCCGGCCATAACATTTACGGACATATATTTCTATCTTGTGGATACGCCAGGACAATTCACTCACGACAGTTTGAGGGCGTACAAATCCTTAAAAGCGTACGACTACGTGGAAAGTGGACATGTTTACCCTATCTTTTACAATGCAATTGACGACCAGTCACCTTACTGCTTTTTGAAGACGAAGGTGATTCCATCCCAGCGCCTTCGTGACAAACCACATCAGCCATGGGTTTGTGTCAAGAAATCTGAGGGGACAGTGTTTTGTGCCCACTGCACGTGTATGGCTGGGTAAGTTGGTTTTTTTATTGTATATAGTTGCCTATAATTTTCAACAGTTTTACCCAAATAACAGTGTATTTTTAGGATTGAAATATCTCAGATCTAAATTAAAGGATCCATATGTAATGGTTGGATTTTTGTAACAGATTCTATTTTTCATTGTTCCTTTTGAATTCTCATATCAATATCATTGCTTCAATACTTTTTAATATTATATAAAATTTTACAATTTCATCTGTATGGTTCAAAAGGTGTTTTTCACGTTTTTTAAGTGTACAGCTACTTCTCAGTTTATATAATTTTTAATATAATAAAACGATATTGTTTGGATATTTCAGACTTGGAGAGGTATGCAGTCATGTGGCAGCCCTACTGTTCAAGGTTGATGCAGCTGTGAGGGCAGGATTGACCGCAAAAGCTTGCACCAGTGAAGCGTGCAAGTGGAATGCTGCTTACAGAAAAGAAGTAATGCTCTCACTTTTTCATATAAAATAATATACTTATTTAGCTTACTGTTCAGCATCATGTACTTTACATATGAAAACCATAGAAAATGAGGGGGACTTACATTCATTATCAATTAGTGTTATATTTATATTGGCAATGAGGTGGCATAATGGTTGAAGTGTCTGCCTAAAACCACACACAGTTGCTCACTCTTACCTTATTATTTCAGCTCCAGCCAACCCCACTGTGTGAGGTTCAGCATCTGTTTGGACGTCGTCGGAAGGCAAACACTCCATCTGTGTCAGGAACTGGAAAAGCTCCACTTCCTGATATTGAAACACTGAAGTCGTTGAAAAGTGTATGCCCTAATGCTGTCTTTTTTTAAGTGTATTCCTCCACTAGATGAAGAGGAAACTGACAGTGCTGAAGAAGATGGCGAGACACATTTGTTCCCCCCAACAATTACAAGTCTTGTGTGTGAGGACAGAATCACTGATGAAAATCTCGAGTCTGTTTGTGAGGAGCAGTGGAACTCTTATCAGTGTGAACCGGCACAGATTAGCAACTTGGAGGAAGTTACCAAGAACCAAGCTATTAGCCCTCTTTGGTTTGAACACCGAAAAGGAAGAATAACCGGAACCAAAGCCCATGATATCTTGGTGATGAAGAAGACCACAGATCCAAAGAACACCATCATGAAGGTAATGGGCTATAACACAAAGGACATCTCCAAGAAAGCTGCAGTTGCCTGGGGCAGTGACAATGAGGCCAGAGCACGTAAACAGTATGCGAAACATCAGACAACACAGCATGCTCAGTTTGCGTGTAGAACAGTGGGGTTACTGATAAGTTTGCAAAAACCTTACATGGCAGCATCAAGTGATGGCACTGTTATGTGCAAGTGTTGTGGTAATGGATGCTTAGAGATAAAGTGTCCATACAAGCACAGGGACCATGACATATCCACAGCAGTAAATGATAAGACCTTTTGCCTGGACAAGGACTTACACCTCAAGAAAGGGCACAAATATTACTCACAAGTGCAGCTTCAAATGTATGTGCATGATGTGAACTACTGTGACTTTGTCATTTTTACAAATAAGGACATGACAATAGTCCGTGTGCCCAGGGATGATGAGTTTTGTTCAATTCTCATAGCAAAGTGTGACACATTTTTCTTTAAACACATTTTGCCGGAAATTGTTTCAAGGAAACTTGAAAATGCAAAGCCTTGTTTGAGCGATGTGTTACAGACACTGGTAATTCAGATATATGGTGCCTATGCCAGCAAGAGGAGTATGGTCGCATGATCATGTGTGAGGGAGCCAATTGTTCGTACACTTGGTTCCATTATAAATGTGTCAACATTAGAAGGAAACCAAAGGGTTCTTGGTACTGTCCAAGTTGTATCATGGGATAAAGTTTCATACATGTTCCCAAAGAAATCCCTTCGTCAGAACATAAGAAATTTGTTCGAAGTATGTGTAAGTGCAGCTATGATTATGTAACCTCTTAGCAAAATTTTCACCATTAACATGGCCAAACTAAAATTTCATTTAAAGGTTAACTGTCAAATGGCTGACATGTGTTGGATTAGCAGACATGTCTTTACAATGGTACTATGTTACAAATATGTCAAGTGTATATGCATGTACACTATAAATGTCCCCTCTTACTGACCATGCGAGTCATTAATTGATTGTGGAGACATGCCATCTCGACACACACATTCTGTCATGTAAAAACCATGCCAGAGGGAAAAACTGATTTATGTATCTTCATATCATTTTGTTATTATATTTGTAATGTTTAATTCAATTGTGTTATCAATCACAAAACACTCAGATGATGTCAAAGAAAATTGTATTGACAATCATATTCTTTTTGTATATTTCAAACATGTCAGCACAAAATGTAATGTTTTCAGTAGACTTCTACATGTCAATCTTCTGTAGGAAGAAACATCACAGTATCAATCACAAAACATTCAGATGTTGTGAAGCAAATTGTATTGACAATCATAGTCTTTTTGTATATTTCGAACATTTCAACACAAAATGTATTGTTTTCAGTAGACTTCTACATGTCAATCTTCAGTAGGAAGATGTATGACAGTACTATTAAATAACATGTGTTCATTTCACAAGATGCATTTGACAAATGCAATGTTTTTATGTGTCAAACATGCTTGATCTCTGTACATAAAATGAAGACTATTTCAAATGGGGAAGAATACACACTATATTTGCCATTTAATCCTGTGTTTGTTGTTAATTTAAACATTTGAAAAACAATTACTGAAATCAATATGTTACCAAATATCTCATTTAAAATCTTAAACTAAATCAGAATAGTTATCAGGAACATTGGGCCTTATTTGTTTACTGACTGGCTTACAAATTACATTCCCATTGCTCATGGTCATGTAAACCAACACAATAAGTATTTATGAACAAGATTACACTACAGCAAATTTTGATGAAGATTTGACAGAGAACTGCATACAGTCATAATATTGTCAAAATGAGGCACAAGGTTGATCTTCAGGGTGGTGCTCAGAATCTTGAAGTTTTTTACTCTTTCTATAGCCCTCTCAACATGTATTCTGGCCCGTGACAGCCTCCTTCCAATTTCGATTTCTTTAGGGCTGAGCTGAGATTTCCCCCTTGTAAATGCTGGTATGGCAAGCTGCGCACCACATGCAGCAAGGTCATCTGAAATAAGGAACCCGCGATCAGCAAGGATCAGATCCCCATGTTCCAGAAGCTGAAGGAATCCTGAGCGCTGTGTGATGACTTTGTCCGAAACCCTTCCACCAAAGGCTCTCGACACAAAGGTGACAGCTCCATGGGGTGCAATTCCTAACAGAAACTTTATAGTGTTATGGCTTTTATAGTTGGACCATGTCATAGCTCGTGCAGTGAAATTGCCAGGCCTCTCAATAAATATTTCGCAACAGTCTATAATGACCCTGCACTTTCTGTAAGATTGTTTGATCACTTTGGGCATATTTCTTAATATATCGTCACTTTCAGGCCAATGTATCAGGAATGATAATTTGTGGGCAAGTGGTGGAATGGTCTTACTGATTAAATCATTCACAGTTTGTCTTGACACTCCAAATCTGTAGGCCAAGTCCTGGTCTACTAGATTCAAACGTAGCTTCATCAGCACCAACATGAGCACACTGGCAGGAGTTAGAGTCATCGAGACAGGAAGTATATGTGCACAGAACTGAACTAACCACAAGAAGCTGGCATGACTAGAGATACCTGTGAAAAACAATGTCTTTCCATCCTTCTTGTCTCCTTCCAAAAAATCGGTCACTGAACCTACAAGCTCTGAGCTGATGTCTTGTATCCTGTAATTCAGCTTGTAGGTTTTCTACCTCTGTGAGCAGCTGTCTCTTTTCGGCTTTCAGTTTCATGATCACTTCAATGCAGGGGTCATGTAAGTCTGGAAAACAAATTGAATTATTAAATGACTATTTACCGGCCAACGTGAAAAAATACAAACTATGTGAAAGGAGGATGTATGATGAGGGTCCCTTTTGATCACTTCTTTTCATGTTTCAAAACATATTGGAAAAATACCTATGAAATAATTAGTGAACATTCAAGTTGATAATAAACAACATAATATTTTTGATCATCATTCCAGGTTTCCTTATGGAAAATACTACATTAAGAACTAAAATATGGCTTCCTATATAAATATTTCCATTCATGAAATAGAACTTTCAGATACCTCGTGCAGGCTGATTTTCTTCTTCTTCAACACCTTGTTCACTCTGCTCATTGAGGGAAGAATTGAGTGACAACTCAAGTAGAATTGAGGCAGCATTACTTCTTTCTTGGCTATCCTTGGCTTGTTTGTTCTTGGTATCTTCTCTAATCTGTGCCCTGTAAAAACGATCTTTCCTCGCTTCAGGTGTCATCATGGATGCAGTCTTATATCCCATGTTGACATGTGGAACATAGTCTGGATCACTTGGGTCACTTCTAGCAGATCCTGGAAATAAATTCAAAATCTTAACTGCAAATCACACATTTATATAAAAGAGAAAATAATGTGAGGATCTTACCTAGATTTCCAAAAATATAGCTTATTTGGCATACGCTTATCAAAATAAAAAGATATTCTGATCGAAAACTGGACAGTTCTATCAAACCAACATTATTACATTTGATATGTTAGAAAAAAATAAAAACATGTTTTTAAAATAAATATTAAAACGTGACTATCGTATATCATTGTTGGGTTCCCCCATTATCTTGTTGATGGTTCACAGTACATACTGATATATGAAGCCATAACCCATTTGCCACAACGTACTATCTACAGAATCACAAGATTATCACGATGACAATGAAACAATGAAAATTATGGGTTGTTGGCCAAAGAAATGTAAATATTCAAACCTGATGCAAAGTGAACTCCACAAACTCGATCACCATCATGATCAGGCGTCCAATTCTTGCGGTTGATCGCTTGAAGCCACTTGCGTCTTCTTTCATCGGCAGTCGGAATTCGATGAAATTTCAAGCCTGAACCTTTTTGAAATCTATTCGTGCAACCAACTACCACGCACGACACAACCATGTTACTTAGATTCCAATGTAAGCGATAAATTATGCAGGAGAAATGGATCTTATTCGTATAATGCTAGAACGTCTTCTCGCTAATGCGTTGTCTGCTGTTGTGTTGACACTTTTCTGCCTACCGGAAGTTAGGGTAGGCCACGTGATCAAAACAATGAGGTCACGCTGGCATTTCCTATAATGCTCAAGCAAGATGATCATTTGTTTCCATCTTGTGAATTACTTGGTTCATGTAATTTCATTTTCACACATTTTAGTACGTTTGAAATCAACGTTCACATGACCTCAATATTCTTATCATCAAAAGAGCCTGACTAAGAAAGCAGTATTACGCAAGCTAACATGGCTAATTAAGCTGCACTCGCTCTTACTACAAGTATCAGTTACGCTTTGTGTGCGGTGTTGGCAAATCTTGTGAGTGATGAACGAAACGGCGATGAGCTGCCCCTTTGTCCTTGCAAGTGTCCAAGCTGTCCCAACAGAATGGCACTTTATCTCTCTTAGAGCTCAGCCAAATATGCCACACGTACCAACTCGTAATTTCTTAAGTTTATTCAGCTCACTACTGTAAACTATTGTTCGGCGGTACATAATGGGAATATGATGTGACCTTTCTTAATACTCTCACAGTTCCTGAACCATGTTATTTCTCCTTCCGCTCATCCTTTGCTGTAATAACGCTATGCAGCTTTAAGTTGTCCACATATGTTTCACTATCGCAAACGTATGCGACAACAATTAAACAATGCCATATCAAATGATATATTCTGTGAGACATGAAATGAAAAATGGTTTCTTTGTATTCCGTTGTTTGGAGCAGGCCTATATCACTATTACGCCCCAGTGCTGCTAAACAACTCGCAGACCTAAAGTCTGACATAGACGCAGACCTATCATGTTCACATCTGATTGGGGCCGAAAATATTGATTCCGACATGAATGCAATATCTATTGTAAGTACGTGTTGTCTGACCGCATCCGTGGTGTAGTGGTTAGAGCGTCCGCCCGGAGAGCGGAAGGTCGCGGGTTCGATCCCCGATCGCGTCATACCAAAAGACGTTAAAATATTGTACTTGTTGGTCCCTGCCTGGCGCTCGGCATTAATGGGTACAACAAGGACTGGTCGGCTCGGAGTCAGTTTTATGTGTCTGAGTGGGGTATTCATCCTTCACTGCGGCATGGTACCTCAGTGGGCTAGCACTATAAAACCAGGTTCAATCTGGGCTAGTACAAGCAGCCGCACGTACACATACACGCGCATGCACATCGTCATATGAGCGAAATATTCTCAAGCACGACGTTAAACCCAATTTCATCCCACCTCACGTGTTGTCTGTCTGTAGTAGACAGACCCGTTACATAGAATGTAGAGCACGGACACACTGCTCGTGCATCCCACACACTCACGCGCGTTCACCGTTCACATCTGGCGGTGCGTGTCACTGACTGAAGACGTGAAGGGAGGCGTTGACAACTTCTTGAGCGCATATTATCATATTTATCTAAATCATATAAATTGTTCATTTATATCACATGTGAAGCTCTGCAAAACCGCAATGTTACTGTAAACAACACAGTTTTATGTACAGTTAGACTGATGTTACACTGATGTAAAGCATGGAGTCATGATGACTATCGACAGTAACTGTTCATGAGATCGTGCAAGGGCATTATGGGTAACTCGTACAAGTTATCTCATGACTGTAATAGTATTCATTTGTCTTGACTCAGACTAATCACCACCTTGAGTTTAGTAGACTCGCACACTTCATCGAAGTGCTGTTGGCCACCTTTCTCGCCGTCCCGTCCAGCATCTTTATGAGGATGCATGACCCCACTGGTCAGCCATGACGCCTCAACTTTCTCATCCAAGACAAGCTGGCGGGCCCTTCGAGCTAGCGCTGCTCGGGGTCCGGTAAGAACTTCACTGATAATAATTCGTGTCAACTGACAAGATATGCGTTCTCCTAAGGTCCTCATATAGCTTCCCGTCTCGATTACGATTTGCGAATCTTAAATCTGAATCTTATATGTGTTAATCAGAATGGTTCTATTGTATTCTCTCTTCAGAAACTGTTTTAAAAAGAAAGCAATAAAACTATGTTTTTCGATGGCAATGCTAGAAATGCAATTTGTGTGTGTCTCTGTATGGTTCATACACGGACATGGGCGACGGCAAGATAGTCGGGGTTGTCGGTTATAATGGAGTGAGTGGGTGAGTTTAGTTTTACCCGCTTTTAGCAATATTCCGGCAATATCACGGCGGGGGACACCTAAAATGGGCTTCACACATTGTACCCATTGGAGGAATCGAACCCGGGTTTTCGGCATGACGAGCGAACGCTTTAACAATACCATTTGCAATGCATTGCATGTACTTGACTTTCATACTCATAGGCATGTAATAGATTTGAGATATTATTCATATTGGTCGGCCCATTTCGATCGTAATAAAAAAACCATTACTGCAAAATTTACACTAGTCCTTCATGTTAAATAGCTGTCTTTGAAACACAGAATGTATTCCAAGCTGATTTGCTTTTCAGTCACTTCACGTCCCACGCTCAACGAAGACATTGGCATTATGCGATTTACACTAGTCGTGCATGTTGAATAGCTGTTTTTGAAACACCGAATGTATTCCAAGCTGATTTGCTTTTCAGTCACTCCACGTCCCACGCCCAGCGATGACATTGGCATTATGTGATCTGACAACGGAAAAACAAATGGAAGTTCTTGTGTTTATTTACTCTTTGAAGTGTAGCGTTTCTACAACTTATCACATGCTAAATGTATCACATAATAGTGGATAAAAAGAAACCTGGCCTTTTTTGATTTAGTTTGTAAACTACTGACTGATTTTTGCTATTGAACACTCACTGAGTACATGTTGTGACAACAACCATCTGTCGTCGTATATCTCATAAAGCGAGAGCGTGTAGTGAACGCCTGTGTTTGTTCGTGCTGGTCTTTCCTTTGTGGTTATATTTGAACATGACGGGAACATGAATCTAATCAATGCCCTGTATGTTGTTTATGCATAATCCATGTTGAGTCACTCACTCAACAACGCTGGGAGTTTTATAAAAACTCTTGTTACCTTTGATCGCGCAATGAATATCGAAGATATTCAGTCGCAGATGATAGTGTGAAGCTAATCTTAACGCCATTCGTGTTGAACATGTAACGGATATTACTTCATACGTTTACACGCGCACCACCTCTTGTACAAACTTCACGTAGGAGATGAGCAATATATTAATAGACATTAATCTGAAATGGTCGACTTAAATCCCCAGACACGCAAACAATCAGTCCCCGATGCATATAATTTATGTATAGTTATAAAGTTTTTCTACTGGAGTATATCATCCGAGTATTTATGGTGCTGCACATCCACGTGACCTCATTATTCTTATTACCAAAAGAGCCTGACAAAGAAAGCAGTATTACGCAAGCTAACACGCCTAATTAAGCTGCACTCGCTCTTGCTACCAGTATCAGTTACGTCTTGTCTGCGGTGTTGGCAATCTTGTGAGGTGCTTGTTTCGAGGGATTAAAAGGTTCAGCGGTGAACAAAGGGCGATGAGGTGCCTCTTTGTCCTCTCAAGTGTCCCTAGCTGTCCCAATAGAAAAGCACTTTATCTCTCTTAGAGCTCAGCCAAATATGCCACACGTACCAACTCGTAATTTCTTAAGTCTATTCAGCTCACTACTAACTATTGTTCGGCGGTACATAATTGGAATATGATTGCACTGCATGTGATCTTTCTTATTACTCTCACAATCCTTGAACCATGTATTTTTCTCCTTCCGGTCAGCCTTTGCTGTAATAACGCCATACAGGAACTTAAAGTTGTCCACATTTGTTTCATTAACACATATATGATAACACAAATCAAATTATATATTCTGTGAGACATGAAATGAAAAATAGTTTTTTTCGTGTAGCGATTATGACCCGATAGCACAGGCGGGGGCGTTCTCTGAGTATACCACAGGCATGTTGGACCTCCGTGCCTTTTTTAAATTCGCCTTGATTGTCCTGTTTAAATTGACGATCGATGAACACAAGTAAATGTGATGTTGCATTGCTGTACCTTTACCCGTCGGAGAAGTCCTTCTGAAAAGATAAATATTCCGTTGTTTGGAGCAGGCTTATATGACTATTACGCCCAAGTGCTGCTAAACAACTCGCAGACCTTAAGTCTGACATAGACGCAGACCTGGCATGTTCAAGTTCACATCTGATTGGGGCCGAAAATATTGATTCCGACATGAATGCAATATCTCATTAAGTTATTGTTTTCCTAAGTAAGTGGAGTGCCTTCTACAACATTACAATTCATATATTTTTGTTTGTGCAAACAGACAAATGTTTTCCCACTTGTATGTATTATTTACCTATTTATGTATGTTGTACTATGTTTCTGCGCACCCCTTTAATCATTCAAGTGTCACTTCTTAATATTACGTATCACCTGGCCTTACCAAGTATTCTCAGCAGCGGAAATATGCGCAGTTTCCATTACATACCTTGCGCATGCGCACACTTTGTTTACTTCCCACAACCCCCTCTCTTCTTCCTTCTGCTCCAAGTCAT